GCTTCACAAATCAAAATTTTGACCAGCAGAATTCTTGGAATTGAAATTTAAGAAACCACAAAATATAAAAATTTGCAATTTCAATATTCTGATAAACTAGGCTACCAAAATACTCCCCAACATCTCCTAAATTTTTACCGTTTCATATATCAAACTTTTATCCGACAGCGTACCTGCAATTGAAGTTAAAAAAAAAAACCATATAATTAAAAAATACTTGGAATTACGGACGAAGCAGTACACAGTTCACGCCTCCCTAAAAATTCCACGGCGAACTCTTTCCTCCGTTGTCCGTTGTCGTCGCGCGAAACGTGAGGAATCGCCCCGATGGCTGTAACATTACGTAACGAAACTCTCTGGTGCTTGCTCCTAGGTTTATGATAGGACAGTATGTGACGGTGCACGGTGACGTAATATCGCACGTGAACATCAGCGTGGTGCACGTGGAGGACGGCGGGGAGTATCGTTGCACAGCATCGAATCGGATGGCGAAGGTTCACCATTCCGCCCGTCTCAACATTTACGGTCTGCCCCATGTACGACCGATGGGGAACTATGCCGCAGTAGCTGGCGAAACCACCGTCATCAAATGTCCGGTCGCTGGTTTCCCAATCGCGAGCATCACATGGGAGAAAGGTCAGTGATCGTAGCGCACACTGGCCATCGTCCCTCTACCACTTTAAAGCGGAAGCGTTCGTCTATACACGTGAATTCCCCTTCGAATCTTTGATCCTTTTGGTTACGTGGCCGCGTATCGTATAGTTGCCGGTTCTCTTTGAAATTCTTCCACGACTTCGAATCTCTCGAAAAATGGTTCACTTTGACGATTCGATCTCACCTTTTCTTTTTTCTTCACCGCGTTAACTTTTTTCCTCAACGTTGCACACTTCGTGTTCCCGCGACGCGGAAAATAAAGATTAAGGAGGAGGAATTGAAACATTCGCGGTGCATAAAGAGACCGTAAATAAGTTACCGCTGGACGCGGTTCTCTCTCTCTCTCTCTCTCTCTGAGGCAAGGAGAAACTGAAAGTACCGTCGGTTTTTCGAGCGGTTTAAATGAACCTTTTTTCTCCCCGTGGTACGCCGGCAGAAAGGGCGAGAGCTGGAACGAAGGAGAGCAGCAGCAAGCTCGTCGGGTTTTATTCGTTCGCCGGAGAAACTCCGAGCTCTCGCCGCCGCTGCCATCCGAACGAGAACGACCAAGTTCGAGCGTTTCTTTTCCGGTAATGATGAACCGAACTCCTGGAAAAGTTTCAAACGGTGCCCCCGTAACTTTCTCCCTTTTACGAGCAATGTAGCATGACATCGTGCGCGCGGCATCCCACCCTCCAAGCACCGCCCGTAACACTTTCAAAGTCGCGTCCACCCCGCCGCCACCGAAAGCGGATTGAAAGCTCGAATACGCGCGACAACGTTGATTTCACGCGGGAACTCGTGCACGTGCCGAACTTCGACTATCGTGCCACTATTATGATTCGACGGATTTATTTAACGGCTGTGGTACGTGTTCGGAAAACTTCAAACGAATTCTTTAAGGTCTACGAGGATATAGACGTGTCGTAATGGATTTTTATTGCTGCCAGTCGACGATCGATCGGTCGTTTAGAATAAGTTTGTGTCAAGATTTTTATTGTTTCTTCGACAAACTGTACATATTTTTCATTATTTTGCTTTCTTTTATGGTTAAAAGATTTTTATTATTTGTTCGACATGTTGTACATAATTCCCATTATTTGGTCTTGTATTATTTTAGTTATTTTACTATGTTAATGTTGTGGAGATTTTTATTATTTGTTCAACAACCTGTACATAATATTCATTATTTGATTCTTCTATTATTTTACCTATTTTACTATGCTATTGTTATGAAGATTTTTATTATTTTTTCAACAAACTGTACATAAATCCCATTAGACGGTTCTTATTATTATTCTTCTAGTACCCTTAGTAAAAAGTATTCGATCAAACGCAGTAACAAGAAACTGACTAAAGAAATTGCTCCCAAGAAGTAAGAAATGTTACTCTACATATCTAAGATGTAGCTTCGTATAAACTAGCATATTGTATCTCTGAGATACACATAAGTTCTTTTAGTTAGTTCCTTGATACAACGTTCGATCAAAAACTTTCTACCAGGAAAAGCACAGTCGTTGGAAGAAATATAGCCAGATCGAGGTAAAATCTGTCAGGCCTCAAAGTTTACATGGTCGAATAAAGTTTACATATCGACAAGTGAATCGACAGGAAACTGAGAAAATAGGACCCAAAATCTCAGTCCTCAGTCGAAAGATATAATCTCAATCAAAATTCTAAAATAACACTGATCCTGGATATTACTGATCAATCTGTGTCACTATTTAATACTTTACTCGTTAAATTTCTCAGGTTTCAAAAATAACACTGACCCTGGATATTACTGATCAATCTGTGTCACTATTTAATACTTTACTCGTAAAATTTCTCAGGTTTCAAACTTTACATATTCTAGCAAAATTTACATATCGACAGAAAACTGAGAAAATAGGACCCAAAATCTCAGTCCTCAGTCGAAAGATATAATCTCAATCAAAATTCTAAAATAACACTGATCCTGGATATTACTGATCAATCTGTGTCACTATTTAATACTTTACTCGTAAAATTTCTCAGGTTTCAAACTTTACATATTCTAGCAAAATTTACATATCGACAGAAAACTGAGAAAATAGGACCCAAAATCTCAGTCCTCAGTCGAAAGATATAATCTCAATCAAAATTCTAAAATAACACTGATCCTGGATATTACTGATCAATCTGTGTCACTATTTAATACTTTACTCGTAAAATTTCTCAGGTTTCAAACTTTACATATTCTAGCAAAATTTACATATCGACAGGAATCTGAGACAATAGGACCCAAAATCTCAGTTCTCAGTCGAAAGATGTAATCTCAATCAAAATTCTAAAATAACACTAACCCTGGATATCACTGATCAATCTGTGTCACTATGCAACACTTGGCGATCTCGCTATATTTCTTCCACCGACTATACCCCAGATCTCACCCTTTCACGCAGCACCTTACCGTTCTCTCCGTGTATTACTTTATCCTTACACAATAAAATGCTCCTCTTACAATGTTCATCATTACCAAGGTATGGAAAAATAGTCCTCGAACACCCAATTGCTCCCCAATAAAGAATAATAACGTACAACCCACCCTCGTTCCACTCCACTCCATTCCCTTCACTGCTGAGACAAAAGAGTCGCCCCCTTAGAAATTGGCTCGTCAAATTGAGACAATGCTCTCCCCCCTCTCGTACCTGCAGACGGAAAAGTGCTGCCGACGAGTCGGCGTCAGGAGGTGTTCCCAAACGGCACGCTGGTGCTGCATCACGTCGACAGGAGTACCGATCACGGTGCATACACTTGCACCGCGAAGAACAAACAAGGCCGCTCCGACTCCCAGACGGTTCACATCGAAGTGAAAGGTAAAGTTTCTTTCCTTCCCGTCACCCGTCTTCATTCTGTCTGTCTGTCTGTCTCCCTGCTACCAAGATTGTATCTGCTCAAATTGGAATAACAGCGTGTACGCGGGCGGTATCTCTCGTCACCGGAGCTGATCCGCTCTGTCAGGATTTTACTCGGAGGAAGGGCACCCCTTGTAATCGCGAACCGGCAAACGCAACCACCGTCGAGAAATCAGTTCTTCGAGGCGTGCATAGAGCGCAGACTGAAATTTCGAGGAATTTCATATGTGTACATACTTCGTTCCTTAAAATGATCACGTTCAAACGAGATATACTTGCAGTACCGGCTGTGTTTGGAATCACTGTGCACTGCCAGTTGTAAAGAATTGTCTAAGAATTTTTTATCATTTAACTCAATTTTTGTCATTTGTCAATTGATTTTTAGTATTCGAAGAGATGAACTGCTAACATCAATTTCAAAACTATGAAGTATTAGTAGAAAATTCGATATTGATGTGAACTGACAAAATTTCCAGAAAAATGGTAGCGATTGTAAGAACTATTAACGAATTTTCTATCACTTAACTCAATTTTTGCCATTTTTGTTATTTCTCGATCGATTTTTATCGTTCGAAGAGATGAAATACTATTAATCTCCATGACATCAATTTTAAATCTATGAAGAATTAGTAGAAGATTCGATATTGACGTAAATTGACAGATGATTCCAAACTTTCGGTTAGCGTTAATTAGAGCATAACTCTAATTGTCTCGACACGAGATGCATGACGTTTCTCGCGTTTGTTTTAACAGAAAGAAGCACAAATTTTTTTCGTACATTTCCGTGAGTATTTTTACCGAAGCGAATCTTTACTTTCTTTTCTTTTTTTTTCTTGTTTGTTCTTTGAACGATGTACGAAATTAAACGGCTTCCTGGAGACGTTTCTAAATTGAAGTCTATAGCAGGTAGAAGGAAACTCTACCCGGCTCGGATTTCCCCTGAAGCAGGCAACCCGCGCTGCACGCGGCCATTCGCAAATTAGAATATATATTTCACTCGAAATTGAAATGCATCGCGTAAGAATAATTTGACCTGGAAATCTATACCGCATCTCGTTGATTTACGATTCGTTTGTTTGATGGTCATACACGCTGTGGTTTCAATTAAAGCCTTCTAACTATTTAATCGATTTATTCGCATCCAATTGTAGCGCACAGTGATCGATAAGAACTGTGAAAGACATTTCTTCGATCGATATCACGGTTTCAGGTCCACGATTTTTCCCCAGCGATCACGCTGAGTCACGCTTTCACAGGTAGGACACACGAAACGTGTCGTGAATCTTTCCAAAAAAAAAACGAGTTAGAGAAAAAAGGAAAAACAACGAGTATCCAGACGACTGTGAAGCACCGGCAGTTACATACTCGTATGTAATCAGCCTCGCGTTAGAAACTGTGTGCCGTTCAGCTCGAAAGAATCGAGAGGAATAACGTCGCGTGACAAAAAGACCGATCGTTTCGTAAGAGAGAGCATTGAAAACGTTGTTCGCGTCGAGTCAGAAGCGATCGCGGTTCGCGTGGTCCGAAAAGAATGGCAGGGGCAATCGAAATTACGCGTCGACGACGCGTCCATCGATAACGACCGATGCGTCTACCCTTTAGTCGCGTTCGAATCGCGTTTCAACAGAGAAAGACACCGTATGTTCTTGATCGTGGAAAAAAGTAACGAAGAGAACACACAGTTCTCTCTTGTGTCATTCTCTTCCAACTAAATGAAAGATAACGACGTGTACGACGAAACGAACTCGACAGACGTTACAGAGAAGGTACATGTACATACGTAAGTACGTATAAGGTTGTTCGTGTGGGTTCGTCGTGACGAAGTAAGAAGAAGAAGAAAAAAAAAAATGTGTCGTGATCTCCTGTAATTTTGCAGTACCGCCTAAAATCGATCCGTTTAACTTTCCTGACAATATACACGAAGGCGCGCGGGTGCACATGGCCTGCGTAGTCAGCGAAGGCGATTCACCGTTGAAGATCACCTGGCTGAAGGACGGCAGGCCATTGAATTCCACGGAGACGACCACCCATCATATCGGCGAATACGATCTCACGTTGATGATACAGAGCGCGACCACGGCGCATAATGGCAACTATACGTGCGTCGCGAGCAACGATGCCGCGGAAACGTCTCGCATGGCATCGCTATTGGTTCACGGTATGCAGGGACGAGCACGGTTTTCACCATCTCCCTCTCCCCCTTTCTTCGTCGATTATTGAAAAAAAGAATAAGAAAAAAGAGAACGTTCCTTTTCACGTTCCGACGATTTTTCTCCAAATTTAACAGCCACCTTGAGAAAACAACCCCTGTCTCGCTTTGTGAAAACGCGTCGATGCCGCGACGAATCACGGTGGTGCGTATTTTTTGTATTTGGTCGAGAGAAAAGATATGGATTCTGTCGGGTAATACAATGAAGTTGGAGTAATTTCTACGAGTGTATAATATAGGATGAACGCGTTGAGTTTTCAATTTTCACCACCGTGATCAGAGAAACGGCATCGCGAACGCGTACAATCACCCGTGAATGAAAAGTTCGCGCGTCGCGAAACGACGCGGCGAAGCGTTTTCCGCTCGTCAGCCGACAACTTTTCAGCAACCGCGCGAACCATTCACTCTCCCCCTTTCTCTCTCACCCCCTTGCCTTCTACGAAGCTCTTTTTTTCTCTCTACCTCTGTCTCTCCCACTCTCTCTCTCTCTCTCTCTCT